GCCCCCCGTGGCAGGGCAGGCATTGCTAGTGTGAGGACTGGACTCACAATGGCATCGAGAGCCCACAGGACTCTCAGAAGGTGGTAAAGGAGGCGAATGAATCAGTTCAATTTAAATTAGCTGATATTTACTGTACACCTACTGTGTGCCCAGATTTATGCTGGGCATCCTAGGAAACAGGAGATAAACAGAATGGTAATTACTACCTGTATAATACTTTATAACCTGTAAAATGTTTTCATGCACTTTCATTTACTAAAGCATATCACGCAAACTGTGTAAGACAGGCCAGCTAGGGGTTGTCCCCCCACACTACAGACGAAGAACTGAATGGCTTCTCCTGTGTCCCCTATGTTGTGGCACCAGCTTGGAACCCAAATCTTCTGCTTTGCGTTTGGTTTTCCTCCCATGAGCTCACGATGCCACATTACAAGGTCGAGTCAGTGGCTTGAGGGGGTGAGTGGGGGGGGGCAGGTGTCTGCTGCCATCTCAGAGCACTTCCGTCCATGCGCTGATGACAAGTGTGTCTCTCTTGACTGTGGCAGAGACCACGTCTTAGTGAGTCATCTCCCACATGCAAACGACACCTAATGACAGCAGAAACAAAGCGCCAGGAGCCGCGGTTTGGGGAGAGGCGGTGTAGGCCAGAGGGCTGGGAAGGCTGAACAATGGGAAAGTTTTGACCAGAAGTGGAAAGGGGGTCTTCCAGCTCCCTGGGGGGAGAGCCCCGTGATAACTGGGTCTGTTGTGTCTTTTCAGGCCTCAGCACAGCACCTGGCACCCAGTAGGCACGCAGTAAAGGTGCTGAGAGTGTCTGAATGGGCCAGAGCCTTGCCCTGAAAGCCAGTGGAGATTTGGGGGCTCCCAGGGCACAGGGCTAAGCCGTCCAGCATCCTCAGGCCAGGATGGGTCCTGAAGGTCGAGGTGGCGTTAAGGTGGTTTTGGTCATTGTAAAGTCCCAAGGACTGGGACTCAAATTCCAGTTCCATCCTGACTAGCTGTGAGATCCCAGGCATGTCACTTACAAAGGCACCTAATGATTAAATGAAATTATACTTGCAAAGTGCTCAGTAAGAGGTAGCTCTTCATGCTATTATCATTGGGTGATGTCACCAAGGTGTTCAAAGCTCTCTAAGGAAAGAGTTTGAGATCAGCAGCCTTGGGAGCACCCTCATTATTGGTGACAAGGGAAGCAACCTGCTCTGCTGGCCTTGGCACCCCTGACTGGAGTAATCAGAGTCCTGTGTTGTTTAATTCACACCTCTGACCCCGACGGCCATGCCAGGGCAGCAGGACTTGTGATTCAGACAATATTAAGATTCTAACCAGAAGGAAAGCACATCGGTGTCAAGGAGCCAGTCTTATCCAATTGGGAGGAGGCAGGGAGGCTGGGAAGAGATCTTGCAGCCCCGGGAGGCAGAGGAGCAGGGGCTCTGTGAGTCCTGACACCTTCTGGGGAAGGGGTAGTGCCCACCCCTGCTTCCTGCTCCTTGGAGTTCCCTTCCCCGCACCAAGGAGCCAGGCTGCCTTCCTGTCCATGGCCAGCCGGCCTGAGAACACCGTGAAACCTTTTAGCTTTCTTGGGACCCACTAGGCCCTTTCATGCCTCCATGCCTTTGCACATGCTGTTCCCTTCGCTGGATGCTCTTTTCCCCATTCTTCCTGCGAGAGCGAAGACCTGTCACAGATCAAATCCTCTGTGGGGCAAAGCTAGTCTCTAATGCACATGAATAATTGCATTTAGTCCACTATGTGACAAGAGATGTCTCCCCACTATCCCGGGAGTTGATCCCAGGCAGAGACCCAGTCTTATTAGATGTTGTGTCTCTAGTGTCCAGAGCGATGTTCAATGTCCAAATATTGAACAGATGAGTGAACCAACCCCCAAAAGGTGGGTGACTTATTTCCTTAGCGGAGCAAAGCCGGCCTTGCCAACCACGCTGGTTCACCACCCTAGACGCGCTGGGGAGCCGCGGCAGCCTGGGTGTTCCTAGTGAAAGGCACCTGGGCGCCAAGAGCTCAGAGCTGAGAGGGGAGGGCTCTGGGCCAAAGGGAAGGCCCCCATCAAAGGACAGTGTGTGAGTCCACTTGGCAGCAAGAGAAGGGTGGGCTGGACTGGTCAGGGAGGAGTCCCCACGGAACTGGACCTCGTGGGGACCTTGAAGAATGACCGTCTCGTCCTAGTGAAGGCAGGACAGGCCTTCTGGGCAGAAGCCCTGCACCAGGACTTGTATTTAAGTCAGTCAGATGCAAATCTCTTTCCCCACTAAGGACTCCTGGAGGAGGAAATCTTCCAGCCTCCCACGGAAGGGCAGTGTTTGCTATCTCTAAGGAGGCTTCTGGTGTGGGCCTCCGTGCTGAATGGGTGTCATAAATCCACGCTCCTGTCATTGACACGCTCCCGTGACATCGAGGGGAGGAAAGAAAAGAGGCGCAGAAGCCGGCTGGTGGTTCTCTGTGGATAAGATATAAACCCCAATCCTTCTGGGGTGCAGGCCCCACCGCCCATCCCTCCGGGAGCCAGTATCTCAGGAGGCACGTGCTGGAGGCCGTGGGGCGGGGGGCAGCAGCTGGTCCAGCTTGGGGGACAGGTGTGTGAGCCAGGACATTCCTGGCGCCACATCTGAGTGCTCATGGGAGCAGTCCAGCTCCTACACGCCTCGGACCAGATGATTCTTGAGGACACAATCAAAATAGCCTGGCCCCTGAACAGACCTTGATTTGGTCAATGCTACTTTTAGCACAATTAGAATGACTCGGGGCCAAGGACAGGAGGAGGAATCAAGTGAGACCGTGGGAAGCCACCGGGCTGTGGTAGCCGCTCTGATCTATCTGGAGAAACCCCTCTGCAGTCGGAGGGAAGGGCACAGGCCTCGGTGCTCTGGAAGTAGGTAATCCTCCTTGAAAAGAGGTACAGACAAGCTAGAAAACGACAGGCCCCTCTCAGGGCCAGCGTGGAGCCTCACATGGCCTCTGGAGGTCAGTCCTGCACCCACCCCTTAGCAGCTGTGTGCCCTTGGCGCCTGGCTGTTTTAGGTCTTCCATCCTTAGTTTCCTGGGTGTAAACTGCAAACAACAAAGGGAGCCTGTCTCCGGGACTTCGGGGACGGTGCGACGAGACAGGCAGGTGAAGCTGCTCGCTCCACTGGCTCTCCCTGTACAGTGTAGTCATGTCTCGCAGACATTGTCAGGTCATTGGATATTCAGTCTCCAGGGGAGGGAATTATATAGAGTAGGCACTTGATGGCACCATGGTTGCCATCAGGAAAGCCCTCGGAAATCTAACCTAGACCGTTCCCACCTCTCTCTGACACCTCCCTTCACAGGCCCATCACGCGACTCTCACCTGGGCGCTACTGAAGCTGGCGGGCGGCATCTTTCAGTTGGAAGGATGGGTTTGCCCGGGTCCTGGGTCTGAAGGAAGCTGGGCCGGGGCTGGTTTATAGGTCCCTGGCCACTTCTGGCACTGAAAGCCCACCCGAGATTGTCCTCCCACCTCCTAGCCCATGCCGGTAAGTGCGAAGCCGGCCAGGCTAGCAAGGGACACCCCACGCGGGAAGGAGGAACCCCCGGTGTCATGGGCCCCGCGCTGGCAGTGAGCAGGGCCGGGACCAGCTTTCCTTTCCCACTTCCTGCCATGCCCGGCACCGCACAGGGGTCAGCACACCCTTCTCCTGACCAGCTGGGGTTCGAGGCCTGCAGTGGGCCCAGCGCTGATGGCTTGGCCTTGCTCTAGGAGGGTCGAGGCCAACCAGAGGGAGGCGGCAGGATGGCGAGGGCCCCGGAACAACCCATGTTTCATCATCGATGGCAAGGTGCACCCTGATTTCAGAGAGACTAAGGTGGAAAAAAACAGCCTTACAGTGGAGAGGCGCGCATGTCACCCACGGAGTTTCCCCTTGCCCGGAGCCTCCGTTCTCCATCGGCCCTTTTTCACTCTTCCTCACCTTCCCCCCGACAACTGTGCACACACAGAAGGGCATAAACAACTAAAATGTTCAGCTTCATCTATTATCACAAACACCCATGTGACC